AGCGCACGTCGCGAACCCGCTTCGCGACTCGCCTCACACCCCCCAACGGATCGAACGGCCGGCAACCCGCCGCGAGCGCCCCGGCCGGCGCCCCGAGCCCGCTCCTCACGCAGCAGCCGGGCCCAACGTGGCACTTTGGCAGAATCCTCCCCGACCGGGGCTGCGATTCAAACCCCCGGTGTCTCCTCAACCAATCGCGAGTGGGCTTCCGGCCGAGCGGCGGCGAGGTTGTCCAATCGTGTCTCTCCGAAGGCCCGCGGTTCGCCCGGTCTCAAGGGCAAGTAGCCAATAGCGACTCCGGAAGAAACAAAGGAGGCGGGGAAAAGGCGAAGAGGTGCGGCCGAAGGCCCCGCCCTCTCTCGGGCGTTAGATTGCTTCTGGGCTTGCATTCAGGGTGCTGGGGGTGTCGGGGTGGCCGCCGCCGCAGCGCGTTTGGTGGGTGTCCGGCGGTGCTGACCTGCTGCGTGGGCATGAGGGGCTGGAGTCTGGCCTCCCAGCAGCAGGCGGTTGCAGGCGTGGGGCGCGGAGGGTACCAGGACTCCAAGGACCGCTGCCCTGCCTGTCCCCGCTGGTCTTTTGAGTCCCAGATTTGCTTTCCTTGGTGCAGGGTAATTAAGAGACGGTCGGAAGTTTAGGGTGTTTTCTCCTTGGTATCTGAACCCCCACCTCCAACCTACTGAGCGTTGTACACACTCCCCGTGAAACGGTGGGCCTCAGGCCCACCTGGGTATCTGGGTCCTGAAGGGGTGCAGTTGACGCTAACTCCTCAGAAAAAAATTGCAAGCATTTTCGCATGCGATTTTGAAAAGATTCACACATCACAAGTTAAACATCTGGAGTAATTAAGACCTGACACCTGGAGAGAAGAGACTGCAGCCCTAGCACTCGACGGCCAGCAGGGCAGTGAACGTTGTCTTCCACAGACAATAACAAAATAAATGCTCCTCGTGACGTTTACCATCACCGTGCAGTCAAAACATAGAAAGTTTAAAATATAGTGACAGGACAAAAGGTCAGTGTCCTCAACCTTGATGTAATGATACAGCTGGCAGAAGACAGCGGTGCCCTCTCATAGTAGAATGCCAACCAGTAAACGTAGAAGGAATAATGGTGTTAGAAGTGATACAAGAGGCGTGGTAAACTCGCAAATCCTTTTCTCCCGAATCCAGGTATACTAGAAGGCGGAGTGTTACTGACCCACTTTTTATTGCTAGGTTAGGAAAGAAGCTAGGTCCCCTGTTTAACCTGTACTGCCCTAGTTGTGGATATTCTGGTAGAGCCCAGAGCCAAAAGAAAACAACAAAAACCAGCTATCTTAATTTAAAAGTCAGTCATTACAGATAGAGCTCTTTGAAAGGAAAGATGACTGGCTTTAGGGTTTGCTGAAGGTGATTTGTGGAAACTGAAGGGCTAGAATCCTGCATCTACCTTCAAGAGACTCATCTTCCATAGCCACTAATCTGCAAGATTGAAAGTGCTGACTTTTTTCTCCATGGCAAATAGCTCATTTTGACTACAAATCAAATGGGAAAATGTATAAACGTTCTTTAACATTCACTGTCAAAAAACAAAAACAAAAAATAATGAAAAAGAACAATCTGGAGAATTAAAGTTATCAATGATTTAAAATGGCAAAAAACAAACTAAAAAAAACCCCCAAACACCAGAATTTGTGACTTTCGGTACTAGTGGGTTTTTTAAAGGACACTATTTGGGGAAACTTTTTTTTTTAACCCTAGCTTGAACAAAAATTGCATTGAAAAATACATGTTGGCTTTCAGTGCTAAAAGCCCTGCTCTAGGGGGTGGTCTCCATCATTCTTTTAGAGGCTACATAGTCATAGCTGAGAAGCAATTATAAGCAGCCTCTTTAGTGACATTATTATTTAATAGTAGGTTAGTGAATAACAAAAAAGTTGATTCTAAAAGGAGGGTTTTGGGTTTTCATTTAAGAATGCACCAGTATTTAGTGCACCTGCCCAGCCAAATCATTACACCTTTTTGCGACTTTTTTTAAAACTCTTATTATGCAACATTTTGTAGTGAAGAAGAACAAGTTTCAGAAGTCTTTTGTTCCTGGTTGTAAAAGTGTGCATTCTTGTTTTTTGGTGTTTTGTTGCTATAGTAAAATCAGGTAAGGAGCATTTTTATATAGTAGTGGTGGCTTTGAAAAAAATTGTTAAGTGGTGATTTTCAGTTTGATGCTTACTGAAATAAGTGTTTGTTATGATGAAAATAATCTAAAGCAAAATATTGATAGTTCCTTTTTTACAGATGGAAATAAGGAAGATTTTTACTTCCTCCTTTTAATAAATATAAACAAAGAGAAGTTTGGGGTATGGAGTGTTTAATAATGTTATTAAAACCTTATATTCGCCTTATATACTGTGTGCATATTACATAAACCTTATATTTTAGATACAATGGGTGCTTAACTCAAAATCTTTTAAAAAAAATTTGTACTCAACTAAGCAAGCTTATGATCCTTTGCAAAATTCTGAGTTTATAAATACCTGCCTTCTGAGTTAATGATAGATCAGTTCAGAAGGTGTGCCATGCTTCTAATTTTAGCATGCCAGAAATAAAGCTAGGAAAAAGAAGTGTGCCTAGATTTTTGTGGGCTAAATTTGTAACTTGGCTTTTGGTTCTACTGACTCCCTTGTTTTTGGCCCTTTTAGTAACCCTAGCTTCCATCTTCATTCTCACTTGTGCCAAAAGTAACTACCTGGAATGAGGTCTTCAACAGTAGTTTCCAACTTTTCCAAACCTGCTTTAAAGCCAAAAATGTTAGCTGACCTCCACATAATAGTATTTGGATTTTTCAGGTGTTTGACCACTGCATAATGACAAAATAGTTCATATATTTGTATTTTATCCTTACAGCAGAATTTACAAACATTCAGAGAAAACTAGTACACATATGGGCAAAGTATTCTTTATTCTGTTCATTTTTTAAATATTAAAAAAAATTTTTTTGACGGAGGTACTGAGGATTGAACCCATGACCTTGTGCATACTAAGCATACACTCTCCCACTGAGTATACCCCTTTCCCCCCTCTTTAGTCTGTTGACAGACAATGCTTGGTCTGTATATGGGTTTAATAACCGCTTTTGATAATTCTAGGGCCCTATGTCCCATAGAATTAAAATCATTCTTATAACTACCTGATGCAAAGTGAAGCTCAGGGACTTAGGTAATTTGATCATTTGAGCCAAATGCCCACTCCTCCCTTCTAACTTGCCCTCACCTTCCCTAAGAATTTGAATAATGTAGCATCAGGTGACTGCTTAATTCCAAAGGCTTATTTAAGCAAGTAACATCTCTTGAATTATCTGAATATTTGTCTGTTTTTTGCTTCAGTAAGATTTTTGGAGACCTGCCCAATATTCTAGTAAGCCAGGGATAAAACAGGAAAATCAAGACTAAAAGGAAGATGAGTCTATCCCTACCTCTTGCTTAGTTAACCTTTTCCCATTTTCCAGTTGGATAAATCAAATCACTGAAAGGATGAGACAATAGGCCAGATTTAAGAGGGACACCTACATCGGAGCAAGGTCCAAACTGTGCCACTTCTATATCCATGTTAAGTATGTTCTTTGGGCCAAAGTTACAGTCTGTCAGAAGTTCAAGAATAAATCTTCCAATGCAAGTCTGTACTACTGAATGGACAACTTTATACTCAGATGAAATGCTTCCTTCTATTCTTTCTCTCTGATGTTAGCTAAAGGTGTCACTTTGTTGTCCTCTTCTTTCTCACCCTTCTGAGTAGGGAGGATAATAATGCCATAAACACATCTCCCTGGCCACTAGTTAAATATATTCAGACTCTTGGATGAATCTCCTTTTTATAAGTTAGAAGAGATATTCAAGTAGAGGCACACTCTAAGCAAATTAGCATTTCTGGCAACAACTCAAAAACTGTTGAGTAAATGGATAAGAAAGTTAAGTGTTAAGTCCAGTTGCATATTCACAGTTAGTGGCTTTGGACTTTTGTTTAAAATTAACTGGTGTCCAGTGTCCATGGAATTTTTGCCATTTGTCAGCGATTGTATGCAAGTAGTGAATTGTAACCATTTCCTTTTCTTCTTACACTAAAGGAAGAAGAATTTCTCTGCATGGAAAATGACACTTTTAAATATCAAACCCAGTGCTTGGGCATTTTCTATGATAACATTAGGGACTGAAATGCTAAATTCTGTCTTCAGTTTCTATTATGTAAAGCTGTTTTTACATCTGTACAAGATTTCAGAAGTGGCCTTTTACCAAGCCCAGGTGAGGCAGATCCCTGTTGTCCTTTCCCCTAGGACCGAGTTTCTCCTTCCTTCCTTGTGATTTTCCAAAGAGCTGATCCTTCACAAGCTAAAAGTTATCAAGAAAGGGTTATCCATGTCCAAGATCCTCTGTTTGAGGGCAGAGAGTTTTAAAAGATTGTCACTTACAACATAACAGCTTTAGAGTTTAAAGGGTAAGCTTTTGTTATCTGGAAAATTCACTTATGTGGACAAATTAGAATTATTACCAAGATATTCTGTGTTTTGAAATGGCCTATGATATTCACAAATTGTACTGCAACTCATTACCAATTAGACAATCAGCATGGATGCAGTTCATGGTCTTAAGACCCCTTATGTTTTATACTGTTACTCGTTTATTACCAACAACAACATCCTTGATCTAATAAATACTTCTGCCATTTTGAGATGGCAGACACTGATATTTTAACCTTTTCTAATGAAATTATGTAAAACTGTGCCGTGGTCTGTAAATAGGCCATCACTCTCTGCAGAGGCATGGATGTGGCTTGTGGAGAGTCAGTTTAGCACCACGATTGAAAGGCAGACTCTGGGGTCCTCTGCTTTGCTCAGACTCTGCCTCTATCATTTATTAACTAAGCAAGTTGCTTAAGCTTCTCTAGCCCTCAATTTCCTTGTAAGACAGGGATTAATAATAGTACCTGCTTCATAGGATTATTTTA